TGGGCTTTAGACTTTGATGCTATTCTCACTGCCATGTATGCGATGTTTACTAGTGGAGAGGGTGCTCAGTACTTGCGTGTTCCGCCCGACCCGGGCATTCAGACCAGTCCGGCTGCCGCTCTAGGTGCTAGTGAGTCTGCTGCCCCAGGTCCTGGTGAGGCTGCTGCTCTAGGTGCTAGTGAGTCCGTGCCCTCTGGTACTGAGTCGACTGCAGCACTGCACACCTTCACACTGGACTCAGGTGCTTCTCGCTCTTTCTTTCGTGACCGCACTGTCCTTGAGCCGCTTGCTCGGCCAGTTGCTGTCTCCCTCGCTGACCCCTCTGGGGGTCCGGTCGTTGCGACCTCCTCCACTGTCCTTCCTTGTCCTGCGGTCCCGTCAGGCACACTGTCAGGTCTCTACCTCCCCTCGTTCTCTACGAACTTGGTGGCAGGTAGTGCGCTCCAGGACGGGGGTGTTCACCAGTTCACCCCTGCCTACGAGCGTGTGACTCACTGCACATGTGCTCGGACGGGCCGTCACCTGGCTACCTTCACTCGGGAGCCGGGGTCTGACCTGTACACACTGACCACTGAGTCCCCTCAGGTAGCTGCGTCCGCGTCTGCGTCTGCGTCAGGTCAGCTGTCCGCCCCCTGCTCGTGTCGCTCTCTGGCGCATGAGACTGTCCTCTGGCACCACCGCCTTGGTCACCCGTCTGTGCAGCGCCTTCGGGCCATGCACAAACGGGACCTTGTTGCTGGTCTTCCCAGGGTTCTCCCTCCCCTCCCACCCTCGCCTGCTCCTCCCTGTCTTCCCTGTGTCGAGGGGCGGCAGCGCGCCGCTCCTCACTCCTCCTCCTTCCCCCCGACGACTGCTCCTTTGCAGACGCTCCACATGGACGTGTGGGGCCCAGCCCGAGTCCGTGGTCAGGGTCAAGAGAGGTACTTCCTGATTGTTGTTGACGACTTCTCGCGCTACACCACGGTCTTCCCCTTGCGCACCAAGGGTGACGTCCCTGATGTCTTGATCCCTTGGATCCGCAGATCTCGTCTCCAGCTCAGTGAGCGTTTCCGCTCCGACTTCCCTGTCCTGCGTCTGCACTCTGACAGAGGTGGGGAGTTTTCCTCTGGCCTCTTGGAGGCCTTCTGTCAGCAGGAGGGCATTGAGCAGTCGTTCACGCTTCCGGCCTCTCCACAGCAGAATGGGGTTGCTGAGCGCCGCATTGGCTTGGTCATGGAGGTCGCTCGTACCTCCTTGGTTCATGCGGCTGCCCCCCACTTTCTGTGGCCGTTTGCAGTCCGATACGCTGCGCATCAGCTCAACCTCTGGCCCCGTGTCTCCTTACCGGAGACTTCTCCGACACTGCGTTGGACGGGAGAGGCTGGCGATGCGTCGCGTTTTCGGGTCTGGGGATCTCGAGCTTTTGTTCGCGATACGTCCGCGGACAAGCTCTCCCGTCGAGCTGTCCCCTGTGTCTTCCTTGGCTTTGTCCCGGACGCGCCTGGTTGGCAGTTCTACCACGCCACCTCGCGTCGTGTCCTGGCCTCTCAGGACGTCACTTTTGACGAGTCCGTCCCCTACTACCGCCTCTTCCCCTACCGCACTGCCCCGCTCCCCCCCCCGCCTCTCTTCCTCGCTCCAGGTGCTGAGGTACCAGACCCCCTCCCCCCTCAGGGTGCCGCTCCCTCAGGTGTGTCCCAGGTAGACCCGGTTGAGCCTGTCGAGGTAGCTGTTGACTCTCGTCCTGCTGGGGGTGCTGAGCCTGACCGTGAGGAGTCTGAGGGTACTGAGCCTGGGGGTGCGGAGCCTGGGGGTGCGGAGCCTGGGGGTGCGGAGCCTGGGGGTGCTGAGCCTGGGGGTGCTGAGTCTGGGGGTGCTGAGCCTGGAGGTGCTGAGCCTGGGGGTGCTGAGCCTGGGGGTGCTGAGTCTGGGGGTGCTGAGCCTGAGCGTGCTACACCTGGAGGAGCCCTCTCCTCCCGGCAGCTGCAGGAGAGGTACCTACAGTACTGCCGCCTCCGGAGAGGTGCTACTGGAGCTCGTACCAGTACTTCCCCTCCTGCCCAGGAGCTCCCCCCCATTCAGCAGATCCGAGAGTGGTACACACGGCGCTGCAGTCTTCGGAGTGGTGCTCCTGGTGCTGCGGACCCTGGGGGTGGCGCTGCTGCTGGTGCTGCGGACCCGAGCGGTGGCGCTGCTGCTGGTGCTGAGGACCCGGGCGTTGGAGCTGCTGCTGGAGCTGAGGACCCGGACGGTGGAGCTGCTGCTGGTGCTGAGGACCCGAGCGGTGGAGCTGCTGCTGGTGCTGAGGACCCGGACGTTGGAGCTGCTGCTGGTGCTGAGGACCCTGCCGCTGGTGTCTCTGCTGGTTCTGGAGACGCTACGCGGCCGCGACCGTACTTCGTACCACTTCTTCAGCAGGTTCTTGGTCAGGCTCCTCCTCCTTGTCCTCCTCCCTCCGTAGAGTGTCCTCCGCCTGTCCAGTCGCAGTCACAGTTCCCGCCTGCCTCGCCTCTCCCTGGTCCCTCTCCTTACACTGGTCCCACGGGAGGTCTTACAGAGCGTCGTGAGCCTGAGTCTCGTCCTGCGTCGCCTGTTCGTACTGCTCGCACTGGTCGTCGTGTCCCACGTGAGCGTCCTCCTCCTGTCCCTGGCACTCACTACATGACTCTGCGTCCCTCCACTGCTCCTCAGCGTGTTCCGCTGCCGTCTCCTCCTGCGTCCTCTCTGCCTACTCTTCCTGATCCGGAGTCTGACTCCCGTCGTGCTGCCAGTCCCACTGTCACCCGTCTCCTCGCTATTGTTGTCACTGACCCTACCTTTGAGTCCTCTGCTGCGTCTGCTCTGGTCGCTGAGTTGATAGACTTTGCTGCCCGGTGTCGTCTAGACTACGCCACTAGCCTTGTTGCTGAGTCTGAGTCTGAGTCTGTCTGTCCTCCGTCCGTCAAGGGTGAGTGTGCTCTTGGCACGGACGTCCTTGAGGACAGACAGGAGGAGTTCCAGTGCTTTGCTGCTGCTTTACCCCACCTCGTGTCCATGCTAGTTGCCCCTGAGGGAGACCCGGATGCACCAGACATCCCGACCCTGCGCACTTACGCTGAGGCGATGGCGGGTCCCTACTCCTCTCAGTGGCAGACAGCCATGGACGCAGAGATGGCTTCCTGGAAGTCCACACGCACCTACGTCGACGAGGTTCCCCCACCTGGGGCGAACATCGTCAGTGGCATGTGGATTTTCAGGGTGAAGCGGCCACCGGGTTCTCCTCCTGTCTTCAAGGCGCGCTACGTGGCTCGAGGCTTCAGTCAGCGAGAGGGAGTTGACTTCTTTCAGACCTTCTCCCCCACCCCGAAGATGACCACTCTTCGGGTGCTGCTGCACATAGCCGCTCAGCGCGACTACGAGCTTCACTCACTTGACTTCAGCACTGCTTTCTTGCAGGGCAGCCTGCACAAGGAGATCTGGCTGCGCCACCCTCCTGGCTTCACTGGGTCGGTTCCTCCTGGTACCCAGTGGAGGCTTCAGCGGCCGGTCTACGGTCTCCGCCAGGCACCGCGTGAGTGGCACGACACACTGAGGACGACACTTGCGGCTCTTGGGTTCGCTCCCTCTACTGCTGACCCGTCACTGTTTCTACGCACAGACACCTCACTGTCGCCGTTCTACATCCTCGTGTACGTCGACGACTTGGTCTTTGCCACTGCTGACACTGCGGCACTCGCCCACGTGAAGTCGGAGCTGCAGAGGAGACACACGTGCACAGACCTAGGTGAACTGACAAGCTATCTTGGCTTGCGGATCACCCGGGACAGAGCACGGCGCACCATCACCTTGACTCAGTCACACATGGTGCAGCAGATCCTTCAGCGCTTCCGCTTCACGTACTCCTCGCCTCAGTCCACTCCTCTGCCTACCGGTCACTCGCTCTTAGCTCTGCCTTCAGATGAGTCCGTAGAGCCGAGTGGCCCGTATCCAGAGCTTGTGGGCTGCCTCATGTACCTGATGACCTGCACTCGACCTGACCTTGCATACCCTCTTAGCATCCTTGCACGCTATGTCGCTCCTGGCCGTCACAGGAAGGAGCACATGGATGTCGCTAAGAGGGTGTTGCGCTACTTGTGCAGTACGTCGGGCATGGGGCTAGTGCTTGGAGGGCGAGACCGAGTTGTACTTACTGGACACTCAGACGCTTCTTGGGCGGACGACCAGGCTACTCAGCGGTCGTCTCAGGGTTACACCTTCAGCCTTGGCTCCGGCTCAGTTTCTTGGCGTTCTACACGCTCTTCTTCTGTTCTCAGCTCCAGTTGTGAGGCTGAGATCTACGCCACAGCCATGGCTGCCCAGGAGCTACGCTGGCTGACCTACCTGCTGACCGACTTGGGAGAGCGGCCTCGTTCTCCTCCAGTGCTGTACGTCGACAACCAGGCTGCCATTGCCTTGTGTGAGGAGCACAGACTGGAGCACAGAACGAAGCACATCGCCCTGCGGTACTTCCTTGCTCGAGAGCTGCAGCAGCGTGGTCAGCTTCGTCTGCGTTACGTGGCCACTGAGGCCAACCTTGCTGACGTGTTCACCAAGGCGCTTCAGCCTTGTGACCATCAGCGTTTCTGTACTCTTCTAGGCCTTGTGCCTGCTGGACCTCACTTACTTACTTCTTGACTCTGCTTGTACTGTGATCTTTATATATATGCCTGCATATTTACACTTACTCGGTTGTGATCACTGTATCTCTTGTTATATTATCAACCTGCATGTGAACTGGTCTTGTGACCACTTGCTTGTGCTCGGAATTTGTGTGGTATCCTTGAGATCCACCCTGAGCTTGTTTTTTGCTTTGCTTTGACTGGTCTTGTGACCCCTTGCTCTCCCCCACTTTGCCTATGGGGGTGTGTCAAACATTATATATGTTGTGTTTGTTTAGGCTACAGTGGGTTAGCCTATAGGGGGTACACAATTCTAGGGTTAGGTACTTGTACTGATTTCACTGCTAGTTCATTCATTCCTGTCTGTTGATTCTGACAGTATCCATGAATCCCGTCAACACCGTGTTCGGTAAGTTACAATTCTGTCATCACGCTCACTTCTCGTTGCTCACAGCCTGTTGGTCAGCCATTCTCAATACATTACTTCCTCTATACGGCTACATCTCCACAAAAGCAGTACATACCCGAATGCACCTGCCCTCGCTCACTCGTCCCGTCTCCTGTTTCTCACTTGCTTCTCTTCACTCGTGGTGCTCGCGGCAGATGCGAAGCGTCTCATCGGACGGCGGTTCTCCGACGCGCCCGTGCAAAACGACATCAAGCTGTGGCCGTTCAAGGTGATCGCCGGCGCGGGAGAGAAGCCGATGATCCAAGTCGAGTACAAGGGCGAGACGAAGCAATTCGCCGCGGAAGAGATTTCGTCCATGGTGCTGACGAAAATGAAGGAGATCGCAGAGGCTTACCTTGGGACTAACGTGAAAAATGCGGTGGTGACGGTTCCTGGTTATTTCAACGATTCTCAGCGCCAAGCGACGAAAGACGCAGGTGTGATCGCTGGGCTGAACGTGATGCGGATCATTGACGAGCCGACTGCAGCTGCTATCGCGTACGGGCTCGATAAGAAGAACAGCAGCTCGTCGGAAAAGAACGTGCTCATTTTCGATCTCGGCGGCGGTACTTTCGATGTGTCGCTTCTCTCGATCGAGGATGGCATTTTCGAAGTGAAAGCGACGGCTGGTGGCACGCATTTGGGTGGCGAGGATTTCGACAATCGCATGGTGCAGCACTTCGTTCAGGAGTTCAAGCGAAAGTACAAGAAGGACCTGAGTAACAACCCGCGGTCTCTTCGCCGACTTCGCACGGCCTGCGAGCGCGCCAAGCGAACTCTCTCCTCCACCGCGTAAACAACCATCGAGATCGACTCGCTCTACGAGGGAATCGATTTCTACACCACCATCACTCGGGCGCGCTTCGAGGAACTCAACATGGACATGTTCCGCAAGTGCATGGATCCGGTGGAGAAGTGCCTCAAGGACGCGAAAATGTCTAAGGCTCAGATCCACGACGTGGTGCTCGTCGGCGGCTCTACTCGCATTCCCAAGGTGCAGCAGCTGCTGCAGGAGTACTTCAATGGAAATGAGCTATGCAAGAGCATCAACCCCGACGAGGCCGTCGCGTATGGCGCGGCGGTCCAGGCGGCGATTCTGAGCGGCGAGGGGAATGAGAAGGTGCAGGATCTGCTGCTGCTCGACGTGACGCCGCTGTCGCTTGGATTGGGGACGGCTGGAGGGGTGATGACGGTGCTCATTCCGAGGAACACTACAATCATGACGAAAAAGGAGCAGGTGTTTTCGACGTTTTCGGATAACCAGCCCGGGGTGTTGATTCAAGTGTACGAAGGCGAACGCGCTCGGACCAAGGATAACAATCTGCTCGGAAAGTTTGAGCTCTCGGGGATTCCGCCGGCGCCACGTGGCGTGCCGCAGATCAATGTGACATTCGACATCGACGCGAATAGCATTTTGAATGTGAGTGCGGAGGACAAGACTACCGGGCAGAAGAAAAGATTACTATTACGAATGATAAGGGTCGGCTGAGCAAGGAGGAAATCGAGCGGATGGTGGAGGAAGCGGAGAAATACAAGGATGAGGACGAGCAGCACAAGAAACGCGTGGAGGCGAAGAACGCGCTGGAGAACTATTCGTACGGCATGCGAAACACAGTTCGCGACGACAAGTTGGCGGGGAAGCTTTCGCCTGAAGATAGGAAGGCGATCGAGAAAGCGGTTGACGAGACGATTGATTGGCTGGATAAGAACCAGCTCGCCGACGTGGACGAATTTGAGGACAAGCAAAAGGAGCTCGAAGGCATTTGTAACCCGATCATCGCGAAAATGTATCAGGCTGGGGCTGGACCAATGCCAGGGGCGGGAGGCATGGGGGATGTGCCTATGGGTTCTTCCAGCAGGGGTGACGAGCCGAAGATTGAGGAGGTCGACTGAGGGATTAGGAAAGGTGGGGAGTGGCCCAATCTGGCCAGATAGGGGGGGGTATTAGAAACTACATGTAAAAAAGATGTTTCTGCATTGTTTCCAGAGTAATTTGTAATGGTTCTGATGTGTATTGGTATCTTTGTAAACCTCAAACCAATTGCGTTTCAAACACATCAGAGAAGTGCCCCTGCACCCTGCACATACAAAACGGATGGTGGAAAGTACATGGAATGAAAAGCCGCCTTTGTAGCCCCACTTTTCCACAATAAAATGCCCATCTGCAGAACAATGTGCAGTGCTACTCACATTAGTGCAGATAGCAAAGCACGGTGGATGAAAAAGGCTGCTCGTAACCTGTTCCAGTACGTTCCTAACCTGCATACGTGATTCACGACCAGAAGTATGAGAGTGAGATGTGCAGATGGAGTGTCTGATACCACAGTTAGCTAAATAAATCTAGCACTCTTTATTGAAACAATCAGTTATGTAGCTCACACATGGGAGTGTTACTCACTTTGCAATAGCGGGACATTGCTCCTTCGTATCAAGAGGACATGGGGAGAGGTCGTGATAGAGCCTGCAAAATTGATTGGATAAACGAGGATCATCAGGATCCGACTAATGTTCGGCAAAACTGTTACCCGATAAGTATAAGCCAGAAATGTGGGATGGCGATCGGGGAATGGGAAGGATAGAAAGGCAAGCACAGCAGCAACAGAGAGAGAGAGTGAAGGAGGAGCAAGGGCGAGAGAGCGTGTTGACTACACACCTAGCGCATGCGAAGGCAGAAATGTAGCCCCCCCAGATGGAGGGCTCCCACTCATTGGCTGGGGTCCGGAATATACCAAACGGCACTCCTGCCACCTCCTCGGCTCGAGAAGAGTCGTCCACAGGGAGGAAACAGATGTCCCGCAGTAATTAAACTCTCCAGAACTTGAGCACCACTATAACCTCCTCTTCCGTCCCTCTCCTCAGCAGCTCCTCTCCTTCGAACCCCAACCCTCTCATCCTCTCCCGCACCTCTCCAGGTCATTTTCCGCCACAACAAGCAGGTAAAACACTCCCCTAGGCGACAACAGCTCTGCCGAGACCGCCAAAGCTCGATCGATTACCTCCCTCCCGCGATCCCCTCCCGCCCAGGCTTGCGTGATTCCCGGGCGGTGCACTTCTTGCGGCGAAGTGGGGACGTACGGTGGGTTGAAAATGAGAATGTCTACCTGGCCTGCCATCCTCGTTATAAGGGTCGATCCGAGATCCGATAAAAGGACGTCCGCTGGAATGCTGTGGGCTGCTAGGGTTTGTCTGGTGATGTCCGCGGCATGGGGATTAATGTCCACTGCAAGAAATGCGGATTGAGAGGCAAGGGAGACAGTAGCACTAGGAGCAGCAGCACCACTGCTAGCATCCCTACCGTCAGCACCAGCAGCATCAGCAGCATCAGCACTGCCAGCTCTGCTAGCAGCACTGCTGCTCCTTGCGATGACAGCGGGGGCAGAAGGAGCAGAGAGGGCGCGGAGGGCGAGAGCCACTGATGTAAGAACGAAGCCGCTACCGGATTCGAGCTCGAGAACCAGAGCAGGGAACGACGGACGGCCAGAGGAAGTCAGGTGGGCACGCGGAGGGTTAACGGACGTGGGCGAATGTGCGGGTGGGGACGCGGGGGGGTTTTGTGAGATGGACGATGACGGAAGGGCTTGGTCGGATGACGGAGTGTTGTCGCTGGCGCAAGTCGCAAGCGACGGGTAGAACCGGGCAATGTCCGCGGCGATGGCGTCGGCGAGGGCGAAGGAGTCGTCGCACGGTTCGTATACCTCGGGATGACGTGGCATGCGTCCCAGATCTGGCTGTGACCAGTTGACCCTTCTCTGGCGTCGCTGCAGCTGATGTTGAGAGGCAGACATGACTGGATGTATGTCGAATGACCTATCACGAGCCTGTTGGCCCCGTATACTGAAGCTTTCATGTATTTACGGGTACTAGAACTGATTGGATAGTGCAAGCTAATGCAACAGTATGAGTTGCGTTCTACTGGTTATTAACAAAAGCTTGAGGTACAATCCCCCAGTGCGATCATTAACAATCGGACGGTCGCTGATTGAGCGATAACGCGGCGCGGCACGGGAAAGAGGTAAGCACGGGAGGAGACGAGCGGCAATCTCGCCAGATCTTACTAACGAGGTTATGATACAGCGACATCACTCTAGGCCACATCCAAATCGCGAGGAAGGCGGGGCATTCTGAGGACGCGTCAACTCCTGCAACATACGGCGATCGATCGTGCCATATCGATCGTCCACCGTACTGAAATCCTGCAAATGCATCCAAATTGTTTACAAGCCTCTTCCAACCCAGTCAAAATCTGATCCCGCGCAGGATTGATCGCCGATTTTTGTGGGAGTTGATGCGTCCTGAATTTCCCGAACAAGTTTTTGTTCGTATATCGTGGTAACCTCTCGTGCAACACCGATGCCTTCTTACAGTCGGTTTAAAGCGGTTTAAACACGTTCACGAGTCACCGATTTGTACTGTCTCGGAAACCTCAGAAATCGAGCAAATTACAGCCACGTGGTCTCCACAACAAGCACACTCGATATTGGAACAGAACTTGACTGGTTGCGTTTGCAGTCCCAAAGCATTTTTACAAGGCTTTACAGTGGCAAAGCAAAAGTGGCAGCAACATCCCTGTCCTATTCTGATCCGCAGTGATGGGCTTCAGTTCTGGTCGGGGGAAACTTGTCAGCGTTGCGGCAGTGAAGGTAGAAGAAGACGTTGGAGCCGTTGTTGGTCGGTGCTCTTTGCGAGGAGGAAAGGAAACGCAAGGTTCTATTGCGTGTTTCCAAATTTAGCGTGTTTTGCTCTACGGCTTCCCAAGAAGGCGGAAGCAATCTGAGCGTTACCGCATCAAATAGATGGAGGGACTGACGGAGGGAGGGATGGACAGAGGGAGGGACGGACGGAGGGAGGGAGCGAGGAAGTCTACCCTCACCACTTGCGTGTTCGATAGGGATGGTGTCGAAACGTTCCCGTCCACAATTATTTTCTAATATCTCTCGAACAGATGTCCCTTGAGCCAAACAGACCAATTTCGCACAGCCCTTCAGCTCAACGCAGAGTGCCATTACGTTGCGTTGTTCATCCATCATTTGTTAATCCATCATTAACCATCCAGAAGCTACTCCTTTGTTCTCACACGTCTGAATTTGGGACTAGCTCGACATGGCGTCTCGTCCCTTCGTGCTCGCAATGCTTCTACTCCTCGCAGCGGTTTTGTCGCCAGCCGTCAATCGTGCAGCCGCTCAAACCGTTACCGTCGGCCCAAACGTTTCGGTGAACGGTAACAGTTATTCAACCGACGCGGAGGACTGTAGCGTGACGGTAAACGGCACGACCTTCTTTCCGAACGGCACAATTTTAAACGGTGACGGTCAGACGATCACCCCCACGACGAACGTGGACGGATCTGTATCTGCCGGCGGTTTTACCGTCTATCCGAACGGGACCGTCACTTCTAACGGAACAACCGTCAACCCTGGCGTCGGGATTACGCTCCCCGGCGGGCTCAACATCAGTACTGGTGGCGCCGGCGCTGGCGGGATTCAGACGCCGGGATTCACGGTGAATCCTGACGGAACAGTGACCGTTAAACAGGCCGCTCCGCCCGCACCCAAGCCTGCTGGTAGGTACAGTGGCTGTTGTTACTAGGCACCCTCTGTCTTACATTAAACCTGGACATAATCGCGGCCGTAATCCCGCAACCAAGCATGCTGGATGGCACCACATTTATTTTTTCCTTCTTTTACCTGGAGAAAACAATGCTCACGAAAGGGAAGTCGTTTGAACCCACATTGCTGGATGTCCTAAATCATTATTTTTTTTCGCTCCCGCTGGTTTCCCGTAACAGGATCGCTCGTATCTCCTGCGAGCATATCGACTGGCCTCTTCGCCACCCTGCTGGTCTCGCTCCTCGTCTACGCATAATCTACTGGTTCAGATTATCGATGTTGTTGGTAGGGAGGGATGGGAAATGAGAGAGGAAGCCCTAAGGGGATAGAAGCTTAGAGCTGCGTTCAGTGCTTGGTGGCAATTGTACTCGTTCATGAGTGAGACGATTCTTGAAACATGTTAGGCCCGACGGCCTAAGTCCGCTAAAGAATTAGCGGGGTCGACTAAGTCGAGGATAAAGCGCGGCGGAAGGCTTTGGCGAAAAGACTATTGGCGAAATAGGCGAAGAAGTTACTGAGTAATTGAAGAAGAGTTGAATGAGAATTGGTTGATATGAGGGATTACAAGCAAGGTTGATATAGCATGCAAGAAACAAGGTTGGAAAGTAGATTGTGGGACTAGGAATTGTGAAGGTAGAAAAGTAGAGTGCCACGTGGCACATGGAAATCTAGGAAGATAAGGTTGGATGGGTTGGGAAAAGTACTGTTCGGAATGAACAGTAAAACCCCCTGTAACACTACCCCCCTCCCAAGGAGGCGACGTCCGCGGCGCCTGCAGACTGAAGGTACGCTTTGAGGCAAGCGTTGTCAGGAGACAGCGAGGACGAAGGAACCCAGCTGTCGTCGGCTGCATCGTAACCACGCCAACGAACCAAGAAGTCGACGAAGGAGACACCTCCCTGCAGACGGCGACGGTGCCTGAGGATGCGCTGGATCTGGTAGTCGGGCTCGTCGGTGTCAACAGCTACCGGCAGTGGAGTGCGATCACGGCCCGAGAAGGTGGAGTTGGGATCGGTGTATGGACGAAGGAGAGACACGTGGAATGATGGGTGCATGCGGAAATGAGCGGGAAGACGAAGGCGGTATGCGACTGGACCAAGTGCGCGCTCAATGACGAATGGACCAATGAAACGTGGGCGAAGCTTGCCGTCCTGTGGCAGTCGGAGGTTGCGGCTATCGAGAAGAACACGGTCGCCGACTGCGAACGACACCTCACGACGACTGCGGTTGGTGGTGCGTGCCATGCGTGCATTTGCAAGCTCAAGGTGCTTCCTCACGTGGTCGTGAATGAAGGTGAGGTGCTGGTGGAAATTGTCCGCACGAGGGACAGTGGGTGTGAGATCGACACGAGTGGGGACATTGGGGTGCTGACCGTACAGTGCGAAGAACGGTGACATGCCTGTGGCGGAGTGATGCGTGTTGTTGTATGCGAACTCTGCCATGCTCAGCTTCTTGTCCCATGCTGCTGCATCGTGCATCGTGATGCTACGAAGAATCTGCTCCAAGGTCTGGTTCACGCGCTCAGTCTGTCCGTCTGTCTCTGGATGGTACGCAGATGACATGGCTAAGCGAGTCCCAAACAGTGCGAAAAGCTGCTTCCAGAACTTCGAAGTGAAACGAGGGTCGCGGTCTGAGATGATGGAATCGGGAACCCCGTGCAGTCGGACTACGTTATCTACGAACAGCGTCGCGGCTTCCTCTGCTGTGACCTGGCCGTGCGTGGGGATGAAGTGCGCTGCTCGAGAGAACTTGTCGACTACAACGAAGATGGCGTCGTGACCCCTAACTGTGCGCGGTAAAGCCATGATGAAATCCATGGTAACTACCTGCCAAGGGCGGTCGGGCGGTGGAATCGGAATCCTGCCTTGCGCTGGCGAGAGGACTTCGTACGCTGACACGTGTCGCACGAGCGAATGTAATCCTCTACGTCTGCTGCAAGCCCTGGCCAGTAGTACGTGCGACTAAGCGTCTTAGCCGTCTTGTCTGCTCCGAAGTGACCCGCGCTAACTACATCGTGCGCCTCCGAGAGAAGAAGCTGTCGAAGAGGGCGGTAGGCTGGAACCCAAATCCGTGCTGTACCCTTCCGTATGTAGACACTACCCTGCACCTCTGCTCCTGCGGGTGGCTGCGGTGTGAAATCGGGATCGACTGTGTAACCGTGCTCGAAGAGTGCTGTGAGAAGTGGATGGCCGGCAGTGACTGTGAGACTAGCGAGCTGGCAACTAGGGCGAGTGAGCGGATCTGCTGGGTTGCGAACGCCTGGCTTGTACTCTATCCTGTAGTGGAAACTCCCCTCCATGAACTCCATCCATCTAGCCTGGCGACGACTCAGCTGCGGCTGCGACTTGAGGAAACGAAGCGAACAGTGGTCCGTGCGTATAACACTATCTGCCCCCTCTAGGTAGCACCTCCACACCTTATACGCATGGATGATCGCGAGCGCCTCCTTGTCGTGAATCGGATAGTTCAGCTCCGCTCCCCTAAGCTTACGCGACTCGTACGCGATCGGCTGCAACCCGCGTCCCTGGTCCTGAAGAAGGACTGCACCTATGGCCTGATCGGAAGCGTCGGTCACTACAACGTACGGGCGAGTGGGATCGGGGTACGACAGTGTCGGTGAAGACGTGAGCGACTGCTTCATCTACTCGAATGCCTGCTGCTGCGCTGGACCCCAAACGTACTCTACGCCTTTCCGAAGTAGGTCGGTGAGTGGACTAGCGATCGATGCGTAACCTTGAACGAAGCGACGGTAATAATTAGCGAATCCGAGGAAGCTCTGCAACTCCTTGACTGAGGTCGGTGCCACCCAATCCTGTACGGCTGCGATCTTCTTCGGGTCGGTCCTAACGCCACTAGCGGATACGACGTGTCCTAGGAACTCGACCTCGGGGAGAAAGAACTCGCACTTCGACTGCTTCGCGTACAGCTTCTCCCTCCGCAAGACCTCAAAGACCCTCTGCAAGTGCTGCACGTGCTCCTCCTTCGACTTGGAAAAGATGAGGATGTCGTCTAGGTAAACTACGACGAACGAACCTAGGAACTCCGAGAGGACTGTGTTCATGAGCGTCTGGAACGTTGCTGGGGCGTTGGTCAAACCGAACGGTAGAACCCTAAACTCGTACAACCCCTGCTTCGTACGAAACACCGTCTTGTGCTGGTCCTCTGGAACTACGCGAATCTGGTGGTAACCCGAACGAAGGTCGATCTTGGAGAAGACTCTAGCGCCCTGCACTGCATCGAGAAGATCCTCTACTCTCGGCACCGGGAATCTATTCTTGACGGTGGCGGCGTTCAGTGCGCGGTAATCTATGCACATCCGTAACCCCCCGTCCTTCTTAGGCGCGAACAGGATCGGTGCTGCCCAAGGCGATCTAGATGGCTGTATGAACCCCTGCGCGAGAAAGTGCCTAACCTGCTGCGTCATCTCCTCTGTCTCTGCTGGACTCAACCTCCACTGCGGCTTCGCTACTGGCCTGCTCCCCGGCTCCAACTCTATTCGATGGTCTACTGCTCGGCTGGGAGGTAACCCTGGGGGCAACTCGTCGGGGAAGACGTCTGCGAACTCTGCTAACAGTGCACTCACCTCAGCAGGAAATGTCGTCTTCTCACTAACTGCTGCACTCCCTCCTTTCCCCTCCTCAGCTTCCACCTCCTCAAGGAAAACTGCAAAGATCCGTGCCGCACGCTTCACTAACTGTCGCACACGAACAGCATTAATGATAGCTGTGGATGATGTGGCCCCATCGCTCCACTGTGGCAGCTCCCGGAACTCCCCGTCTACCTTGACACTGCAGCCTCCATGAGCCCAATCGAACTGAGTACTAACCGTGCGTAGCCAATCTCTCCCAAAGATGAAGTCGTAACCGTCCAGTGTTGCAGAGTCGAAGTCACGTCTAACCGTGATCGGTCCTAGCACTACGCGCAACTTGCGAATGACTGGTCCTATGTGAAGCGGCGTCCCATCTACCATGCGAGCGTCCTTGAAGTTGACTGCCGTATCTGCTTCGAGATGGAGACGACTAACTAATGAAGACGAAACGAACGAGTGGCTAGCTCCGCTATCGACGAGAATCTTAACAGGAACTCCGCGAAGCTTCCCTAGAAGCACGACTGGTCGGTCAACAGTGTCTACCGAGTTCTCCGTAGATGACTGCTGCAAGGCCGTCTCCTCTACGTTGGTAGACGTGGCGGGTACGGGAACCTCCACACCAGCTAGCGACCCGCTATCTACTGGCGGTTTCCGTTTCCCTGCTGCTGCTCCTTGAACTGTGGGCAGTCCCGCTTCATGTGACCCGGCTTTTTGCAGTAGTAACAGTTCCCCCTAAAACCCGTCCGCTGTGAACCGTCACTGTTAACTGCACCAATCTCCATGGGCGATGGTCCGTCCCTCGATCGAGCGTCGTTGATCGGTCTGCTGTATCCCCTATCGCGATCGTCACGACCCCGTCGGCTTCGTACTGCGTCGACGCGTTCTGCTGCTGCGACTACTGACTCGAAGGTGGACAACCCGTGAATCGCTATAACCTCCGCTATGTCCGGCTTCAACCCTTCGAGGTAGCGATCGCGCATCTCTGCTTCCGTGATGTCGTCTATTTCGTTGCAGATGCTCAAGAACCGTCGTGTGTACTCCTGGACGTTTCCTATCTGTCGGAAATGACGCAGACGCTTCCTAGCAGCTTCGGAGGCGTTCACCAAGTCGAACCTACTTTTCAGCGCCGCTTCAAATCCTTCCCATGAAGTCGGAACCGTGGTAACACCCAAAGCTAAACTCCCTAAGCTCGAAGTTGCAGCTGCATGCCCCACGCCCTGTTGATGCCCGTCCGTCTGAGCCCTTCTAACAGCAGTCTGCGTAAGTTGGCGCCACCACTCCAAGGCCGGCCCCTTCAACAGCGTCACGGCATACTCAATCCGCTGCTGCGCGTCCGCCTCTTGCACCCCGCTCGCGGCGAAGTAGTTGTTGAGCATGAAGAGCCACGTCCGCACGTTCGCGTCGCGCTGACTTGGGTCGAACGACTCCGGTTTCTGCGGCTTGAGTGCGCTTCGACGTTCCGGCAGCGCTTCCGCGCCAGTCGACGTGGTGGGTGCAGGAGTTGGTGCGGCATGACCATGGGGGTTAGAAGCCAATTCACGAAGCTGTTGCATTTCAGCTCGTACCTGACGATTTTCCAACGTCAACTCTTGAAGTTGGCGCATGAGTTCGGCAAGCGCGTTGCCCATGTCTTGGGGGAGAGCGTTCATGGTCTCGTCCATGTTGGCTCGACGACTCCAAGTCTGCAAGTCGGCACCGCGGGACGATGACGGCGTAGTCTCGTCGTCGACGGTCGCTCGTTGGAAGTCGCTCCCCGCGAAGGCTCTGATACCAAGTGTTAGGCCCGACGGCCTAAGTCCGCTAAAGAATTAGCGGGGTCGACTAAGTCGAGGATAAAGCGCGGCGGAAGGCTTTGGCGAAAAGACTATTGGCGAAATAGGCGAAGAAGTTACTGAGTAATTGAAGAAGAGTTGAATGAGAATTGGTTGATATGAGGGATTACAAGCAAGGTTGATATAGCATGCAAGAAACAAGGTTGGAAAGTAGATTGTGGGACTAGGAATTGTGAAGGTAGAAAAGTAGAGTGCCACGTGGCACATGGAAATCTAGGAAGATAAGGTTGGATGGGTTGGGAAAAGTACTGTTCGGAATGAACAGTAAAACCCCCTGTAACAAACAGGTGGCTTATAGTATTTGGGAGTTCTTAAAGCTTTCGTATACATTTCAAAAGTTTAGAACCCCCCATTTTCAAATGTATACAAAAGCTTTATTCTGGAAACGCCCATATTGAAAAGGTTCCCGAATGCATAACACATGGTACTTAAAATAAAACTAGCACAACGCATTCTGCACACAGCCAGATCAGCCCCGACTTGGGTATGGTATGGTGAGAATGCGGAAACAGGCTGGTGCTTGTGTATGTAAATTCTGCCCCCCCTATCCAACTTTATCCGACTTTATCCTACAAAATTCATGGAGGGCCGATCTTTTTCAGCCCCCGAAGCACGTCTGCTCCAACCAGATGAGCCTCGATCCGGGACGGGAATGGTGGCTTTGGCGCAGAAAAGGGCGCACACACTTGCTAGTCGTGATGGTGTTTGGGTGTGTAAAACCTGTTTCCAACTATACTACTGGTAGACAGCAATCACGGAGGGCCGATTTTCTTTAGTCCTCTCAGCACGTCTGCTCGCAGCCAGATGAGACCCGAGTCGGGAATGGTGGCTTTCGCGCAGAAGAAGGCGCAATCGGGTTGGTGCTTGGGTGCTTCTGGGTCGGCACAGTGCACCAGAGCAGGGTTGGTGGCGTTGGGTGGAGGCTGTAGGAGGGGTCTGGGACGCAAGCACCATTGGTCGGGGGGAGGGAGTAGCAGAGAGATGGAAGCATGAAGAACGAACGATCAGGTTGGTGCTTGGGCGTGTGGCGGTCGGCACAGTGCACCAGAGCAGGGTTGGTGGCGTTGGGAGGGGGCTGGAGAAGGGGCCTGGAATAACAGCCGGGAGAAGCAAGGGTAGGGGCAAGAAGAGGGGAGGGGAGACAGGGGCATGAGAGATGTGCACTCAGGTTGGTGCTTGGGTGCATCACGGTCAGCACAGTACACCAGAGCAGGGTTGGTGGCGTTGGGAGGGGGCTGGAGAAATGGAAAAAGCAGCAGTTGTGGGCGGGATGAGGGGGCAGGGAGAGGGAGAGGGGAAGAAAAGGGCAGTCTAGCTGGTGCTTGGATGCGTCGGGGTGGGCACATTGCACCAGAGCAGGGTTGGTGGCATTTGGAAAGGGCTGTAATAAGGGCCTGTGCTGAAAGCAGGGATGAGCAAGAACGGGGAAGGAAGACAGAGGCATGAGGATCGTACCGTCTGTTTGGTGCTTGATTGCAGCAGAGCACAGTGCAGCAGAGCACAGTGCAGCAGAGCACAGTGCAGCAGAGCACAGTGCAGCAGAGCACAGTGCAGCAGAGCACAGTGCAGCAGAGCACAGTGCAGCAGAGCACAGTGCAGCAGAGCACAGTGCAGCAGAGCACAGTGCAGCAGAGCACAGTGCAGCAGAGCACAGTGCAGCAGAGCACAGTGCAGCAGAGCACAGTGCAGCAGAGCACAGTGCAGCAGAGCACAGTGCAGCAGAGCACAGTGCAGCAGAGCACAGTGCAGCAGAGCACAGTGCAGCAGAGCACAGTGCAGCAGAGCACAGTGCAGCAGAGCACAGTGCAGCAGAGCACAGTGCAGCAGAACATAGTGCAGCAGAGCACAGTGCAGCAGAGCACAGTGCAGCAGAGCACAGTGCAGCAGAGCACAGTGCAGCAGAGCACAGTGCAGCAGAGCACAGTGCAGCAGAACACAGTGCAGCAGAGCACAGCACAGCAGAACACGTGAGAAAAAGGAGGTGAATTTCTGAGACGTCTCAAAAATGCACTTATGAACGACATGGTGCTTGACCAGCAGCAGCGCACAGTACAGGCGCCTGCCACTCCACGTGCAAGCACACAGGCCACACTCACGTGCACAGGCTTGCAGGGAGCGCACACAAACAAACCATCACCACGCCACTCACTGCTTGGTGCAAATCTCGTTGGCTGTGGGTTCGGTGATGGCCGAGGGGTCCTGCAGCACATCATGGTACTTCACCAACAGAAGCGCCCAGTAGAGCCGTCTGCCACTCCACGTGCACGCATACTGCGCCATGTGGTTCGCTGCATGCACCAACCTCTGCGCTGCATCGTCGTTCTCCTGGGCCCAGCGAATCTTAGCAGGGAGGTCGGAGAACCTGAGGGTTGCAGGGGGATTGAGAGGGGTGGAAAGGGGTTGTTAAGCCGCCTCACATCGGCCCCAGTACAGCCGCCTGTCGTGGTTACCTGGTTACCAACAGGCATGGTTACTCACGTGTGCGTGTAACCAGCGAGTGCAACCCGTCCTCTAGCAGTGGCTCGTATAACAGGAAGAGGGGCGTTTGTGTGGTAATGGGTTATGGGGTTACCAGAAGGCATCGTGGTTACTCACGTGCGAGTGGTAACCAGCCAGTGCACCCCATCCTCCAACAGAGGCTCATAGAACTGGAAGAGGGGGGTCTCCTGGCGAATGCTCAGTTGATTCGATCGCAGCACTCCGCATGTCCTGCAACTGCCTCCACCACCGTCTACGATCACCTGAACAAGGAGGGAATGAAGCGCAGGAATGGGGAGGAAAGGGAGTGGCCAGTGGCTCGTAGAACTGAAAGAGGGGCGACTCCTGGCAGATGCTCAGTTGCTTTGGTTCCAGCACTCCGGTCCTGCAGCTGCCACTACCACCATCCACGATCACCTGAGAGTTAGTAGGGAGGGGGGGGAAGGTGTGTGTTTAAAGATGGGGGTATGGAAGGGAAGAGAGCACGAGAGGCAAGAACATGACTGACGAGAGCACGAGAGATTAGTGGCAGCATTGGCGGATGCTCAGCAAGTTCGACCACACGACTCCGCAAGGTTTTGAGTCGACTCAAAAGCAAGTTCGACCATACCACTCCGCAAGCCCTGCAGCGTTAATTCCTGCATGTCATCCCCCTCACTGGCTCTCCCTCTCTCTCTCTCCCCCTCCCTCTCCCCCCCATCTTCCTCTCACCTGGTACTTGAATGCATTGAACTGGGTGAAGTTCATGCGTTTGGCCAGCAACAACCCGTCCTCAGCCATGGCTTTAATAACCGCGGGCTTGGCATGGCTCCACGCGTTGATGTGAGCCTCCATCAGTGCCGAGTGCACGTCTGACAGCCGGTGAAGCCGCACACGCGGGTTGGCGCCCCAGTTGCCGTCCAGCATGTCAAAGTTGGTCGTCTTGCCTCTGAAGACCGCTCGTGCTTCTTTCCTCTCCCAGGGAACCTGGGGATTGTGTGGGATGTGGCAATCAGGGGGTCAACAAGACACTGAGTTGACATCAATACACTCGCATTTATGTGAGCCTCCATCAGAGCAGAGTGCACGTCGGACAGCCGGTGCAGCCGCACACGGGGGTTGGCGGCACCCCAGTTACCGTCCAGCATGTCAAAGTTGGTCGTCTTTCCCCTGAACACCGCTCGTGCCTCCTTTCTTTCCCAGGGAACCTGAGGGAATTGAAGGCCATATGGAGAAGAAGGGGGCAGGGGTTGGTGCCCCAGTTGCCATGCAGCATGTCAAAGTTGGTCGTCTTGCCCCTGAACAATGCCCAGGCCTCCTTGCGTTCCCAGGGTACCTGAGGATTGAAGGGTATATGGAGCAGAAGGGGGCAGGAGTTGGCGCCCCGGTTGCCGTCCAGCATGTCAAACCTGACGTTGGTGAATGGCTCACATACCACACTGGGGTGCTGAGATCCCTCTGTCAGATCAAGTGGGTCGGGGATGGGTATGTCCATGGTGTCGACTGTAAAGCCCATGCTCGTCACAGGGTAACCAGCACAATCAGATCAGTGGCTTACATACCACACACACCTGAGCCCTTGCTGTTGTCATTCTCACAGCACAACGTACCTGCGTGCTGAGATCGGGCGTGTAATCCTCGGTCAAATCGAGCGGGTCAGGGATGGGTATGTCCATGGTGTCAACCGTAAAGCCCATGCTCATCACAGGGTAACCAGCGCGGTCGGACCAGTGGCTGCTGTAGAACGACTGCGGGTGGTCGCACGTGTTGACAATCATCTCTAGTCGAAGGTCTGTCAAGCCGTACACGTCTATTGCATCCTGCAAAAGACAAGAGGAAAGCCGGAGAACGGGAGAAAGAAAGAAAAGGGGGAAGGAAGGGGTAACCCGAGCGGTTGGTCCAGTGGCTGGCTGCTGTAGAAGGACTGCGGGTGGTCGCACGTGTTGGCTATCATCTCTAGCCGAAGGTCTGTTAGGCCGTACACGTCAATTGTGTCCTGCAACGGGCAAGGAGGAACGGAGGCCTGTCAAACCGTACACGTCTATAGCGTCCTGGTGGTGGGAGGAGGGAGTATGGCAAAGGGGGAAGGGAGAGAAACGAGGGAGGGTAAGCAGCACAGTTGGCCGGCCCAGAGGCTGCTGTAGAACGGCTGCGGATGGTCGCATGTGTTGACTACTATATCGAGTCAAAGATCTGTCAAACCGTACACATCTATTGCATCCTGCCTGCAGGCAGTGAGGAGGAATGCAGGACGTTTAAAGGAAGGGAGAGACTACAGAGAATGATTCGAGACGTCAAAACACGCTTACTTCAAAGGACGTCTAAAGGAAGGAAGAGACTACAGAGAGGAACTGGGGAGGGAGATTAAAACGCCGACCGTGGTAGGCACGATACATGGTGTGGCATAAGCCTGCGTCGTGCAATGATCTCACTTGAATCAACTTGACTTTCTTCATTCTCACTGTCTGCAAAAAGCACTTGAATCAGAAGCACTGGCAGTTGGAGTCAGAAGCCATTCAACCAATCCAGTTGTCACCTCTTCACCTGAATTCACTCAGGACATCTTGACTAGATTGACTCAAAATGGCTCACCTGAATCATCTTCACTGTCTGCAAGAAGCGGTTGAGGCGATAGTAGACGTGCCAGAAGCCTTCCATTCGTTTCACATGTCAGCCCTTGACTCACCTCACCTTGTATCTTCCTCATTCACGCTTCTAGACTCACCCGAATCATCTTCACTGTCTGCAGAAAGCGGTTGAGGCGGCAGTAGACATGCCAGAAGCCTTCCAGTTATTCTAGCTGTCACCTCCTGACCTGCTTACATTATTGTGCGTGCCTCACACTATCTCAACTCACCTGAATCATCTTCACTGTCTGCAAGAAGCGGTTGAGGCGATAGTAGACGTGCCAGAAGCCTTCTGATCAATTCAGCTGTCACAAGTTGACCAGAATCTACTAGAACATCTTGATTCATTTGACTCATTGACTCACTCACCTGAATCATCTTGACTGTCTGCAGGAAGCGGTTGAGGCGGTAGTATACATGCCAGAAGCCTTCTGATCAATTCAGCTGTCACAAGTTGACCTGAATCTACTAGAACATCTTGATTCATTTGACTCATTGACTCACCTGAATCATCTTGACTGTCTGCAGGAAGCGGTTGAGGCGGTAGTATACATGCCAGAAGCCTTCTGATCAATTCAGCTGTCACAAGTTGACCTGAATCTACTAGAACATCTTGATTCATTTGACTCATTGACTCACCTGAATCATCTTGACTGTCTGCAGGAAGCGGTTGAGGCGGTAGTATACATGCCAGAAGCCGCCGTACCGGAAAAAGACCTTTCCGTTGATCACCTGCATTGAAACAAAGCAACAGCAACACGGACGGACAAACGGCAAATGCTCTAAAAAACGCTGTAGTAGACATAAAACGCCGACGAACTGAAACACACCTCGACGTGAAACCCACTAACCGTAACAGACCTTGACATGAAACGCCGCTATCACGAGATGTAACACGCCTTGACATGGCCAGCCAGAACATGACATGATCGACGGCTGCCGAGGCAAGCGTGCTTGAATCAATGTTAAAAATCTACCAGAAGTTTTTCAAGCACAGAATTTAACCGCACCTTGACATGGCCGCAACAGGACATGATCGACGGCTGCCGAGCCAAGCGGTAGAGAGCCTCGGGAGTGACGAAGCCGGTATGGCCCAAACCTGACTCTATGCCCTGGGTTGGGTTGGGGTGGGAGGGATGAGACGGGTTGGGATGGTGGGTGGGAGATGGATTAGCATGGATTAGGTTGGGCTGGGTTAGGAATATCATTTCCCTGAAAGCAAGCAGTAGTGAGCCTTGGGAGTGACGAATCCAGTATGGCCCGAACCAAATTCGATTCCCTGGAATGAAATGACACGGCTCCACGTACTATACCACACTCAGCTCAACCTTCCCATGCTGCACCAGCAACCCCCCAGCAACCCACCCATTCCCACATCCCCCTTATAAGCCTCACCGGTATAGGCTGCCACGGCTCCAGGTACTTGTGTATAAGCTTTAGATATTTCCCCACCATCGGCGCGCTTAGGTCAAACTTCCCATACTGCGGCACCCTCCCCAGCACATCAGCCTCCTCTGGCGGAAAGTCTGGGAGGGAGGGGCACGTGCCCTGCGGTGCTGCTAGCAACTGCACTTCGTCTTGCAACCACAGCGCCGCCCATAGCGCCAGTGCTACAAGGCCCGCTGTTAGGACTGTTATCGCGTCTACCTGTAATGGGGATGGATGGCAGGGGGGAAGGGGGAAACCTAGGTTCGACCTGCCAACAAGTGGCTGTGAATAAAATCCAGGGGGTGAAATTTTGAGAGTGGAACATAGGGAAAATAATAATGGCTGTAGAGTTCAGGGAGTGAAATCTAGGGAGTAGGAAGAAGAAATGCTAAGTAGGAAGTAGAATGGAGGGAAATCTAGAGGGGTCTGAGCATTGCTACAAGTGCTCCTGCCTGGTCGCGCGAAAGCCGCGATAATCGCACGGCGACGGTAGCTCGCACGCGCTGCAGATGCCCTGCGACCGCTGCGACTGTCGCGCGCACGCGCGACGACAGAACGGCGCCCGAGGCGAAACCGAACGCTCTTGCACCCGACGTTTCGCGAGCGTCGTCAGAGTCGCCGTGATCGGTCGGCGACGAGTAATAGGCGTGGTGAGTCTGTAAGACGCTGCGCGGGTTACTAAGGTTGGAAGCAGGCAAGTTGCGAGTGTTGCTACCGCTGCTATTTGGGACGAACGGGGACGGGGACGACGAAGCTACCGGTGAATGCTTTCTTTCGTGAAGCTGACCCGAACCCTTGTAACCCGCGGGACGCGACATTTCGCGAAAAGATGGCGGAACCTATTGCGAATAGTTATGAAGTTACCAGGCGCGGATTGCTGGCGTGTGTTGAATTTCAGCTCGAACTATCCTACAGGTCAGGAGAGCGTGGTGCACAGGCGCGTGAATCACGGCGGTAAAGCCGCGGTAATTAGGTGGTGCAGAAATGAGCGGCACATTACCGCCACAAACATAGCTTTAGGAGACTGTCTATAAGCATGGCCGTTGTTGGGTAGGTTCTGTAGTGGTGACGATTTGTGTTGTGTAGCGGGTGAGATGGGATGCCCTGTGGGGTCACTACTTGCCTAATTGCGTGTGGTGCGATTCGGTTTATGGTCAGGTTAGCGCGGTTTCGTTCATCACAACTAAGCTTGGTTTCTCATCAAACCTCGGTTTTTCCTTTGTTTTGCGCGGTGCGCTCTGGTTCCAATTGGTTCAACCTTCCTAACTTGGCACCCAAATTCTCGGCCAATTGCTCGCCCCAACCCCAACCAACCAACCTTTCAAACGCCGTTGCCTGGCTTGTTTTACCTACCGTTTTTTACTAGTGTCTCGGCCAGTGTGTTCTTTGAGCAATGCTCGATGTTTCAAATTCCTGCTCGATCCACTGAAATTCCTGAAAGCGGGAGATGAGAGATCGGGCCGAGTCGCTAACATGTCTCGACCTAGGTTCGTCTTACCGGTCTGTAAGAGCGTTCGTGCCATAGAGGCTAGCGGGTCACGCGCTCCTAAACCGTCCTTAACCGACGCTTATTCGTCGCAGCCTCTATCTATTCCCTCGCACCAGCCGTCGCTTGGTCTGCTTTTTCCTGCGAATTCGTCGCACACACGGCCGTCTCTGTCGCAACGGAAAGCGCAAGCAGCTTGCACCAATCACCACGGTGCCGGCGATCCTCGTTATGAGGCGTCTCGACACACTACTCGGCGGCCATGCGCGGTAGGCCGTGCTTTGGAGCATCGTCTGTGCTCCGCAGCAGCAGCAACAGCATCAGCAGCACCATCAGCCGCACCAGCGACAGCAGCAGCTTCGGCAGCAGCAACGGCAGCATCAGGCTCACCTGCAGGTGGACGGGCAACGGCAGCAGCGGCGCCACTGACACCCATGCATCCATCTTCTCCTGGAGCACCGGCAGCACTGTCAGCAGCAGCACCGTATGCAGCAGCTCCGGCAACAGCGGCACCAACAGCATCATTAAAAGCTGCCGCAGTCACGGGTGAAGCGAGGGATGTTGAGGCGAACAACTGGGAACGGGATCCCTGGCCTGAGGGGGAACGGGGTGTGGCACACAGAGCAAAGGCGGAAAGACGGGTAGGGATGAGGGGAGTGGGGGGGAGAGGAGGGAGAGCAGAGGAGAGACAAGCAGCAGGTTCTGCAGCGGCGAATGAGGAATGGCACAAGAGCATGGTGGCGTTCCTTCTCAGCATGCTCACATCTCTCCACCCTGCCTCGCCCTCTGCAGCTTCTTCCTGTTCCGCCCACTCTGCCTCTGCCCATTCTGTCTCTGATCCCTCGTGTCCTCCTTCAATCCCCCCTACTCGACATTTCGCAAGGGGTAGGCGAATGGGCAGAGAGGAGATGGTGGCAGTGCTGCAGCAGCAGTGGGAGAGGGAGCTGATGAGTAGTGGCGGCAACGGAATCACGACCACAAGGAGCAACGACAGGATCAGAGCACCGGGCGAAAGCAGCAAGGACAGGGAAGGGCGGTCCGTAGGCAGGTTTCAGAATGGCACTAACAGCACGCTGGATGGGAAGCTGGTGCCGTATCATAGTAACGAGGTGATTTTTGAGTCGACTCAAAAGAAGCTGGTGCCGTATCATGTGAGCGAAGTGCTCAAAACTCTGTGGGACGTTGACGTCGGTCTGGCATTCTTTCGGTGGGCAAAGGACGTGCAGGGAGTGAAGCCGGACGGCCATGTGTACTCTACCCTCTTTGGACTGCTGGGGCGGGGGAAGGATGCTGCAGGGCTGGCGAGTGCGGAGAAGGAAATGAGGGAGGATGGATGCGGCACGAATTTGTACACACTGCAATCACTTGCTGCCGCGTACGCTCGTGCTGGCAGGTTCGAGGAGGCTCGTGTGACGCTGGCTGAGGTTGAGCGTTGCGGAGTTTTGGATGGTCGCTCTACTAGTGGGTAGGTGTCTCTGGGTACGCTTAGTCGCTGTTTTCGCTTCTTGCTCCTCTGAAATATCGCGCTCTTCCATATTTTTCCCACCTCTCCCTTCTCACTCCTCTCGCGTTTCGCTCCTCTCGCTCCTCCACACCATGCCCTACGCCCACTCCCCTCCTGGCTCGCACCAGGGCTCGAGTGGATGTGCTTTTCCGCATGGGCCGGTACCACGACGTGATCAAGGCGTTCAATGTGATGCGCAAGGCGGGAGAAATTCCCAACGAGTTTATTTACAACACTGCCATCTCCTGCCACGGCCGTCTCAACAACAGCGCTGCAGCTGAGGCCGTGTTCAAGGAGATGATTTCACGGGGAATGACACCCACTGTGCGTTCTGCGAATGTTCTCATGGAAGTGTATGGCACCGCCGGCAGAATCGATGACGCCATGGCAGTTTTTGACCGCATGTGCCTGGCTGCTGTTGCTGCTCGAACAAGTCGGGGGGGAGGAGGAGGAGGAGGAGGAGGAGGAGGAGGAGGAGGAGGAGGAGGAGGAGGAGGAGGAGGAGGAGGAGGAGGAAGAGGAGGAGGAGAGGAGGAGGAGGAGGAGGAGGAGGAGGAGGAGGAGGAGGAGGAGGAGGAGGAGGAGGAAGGCAGAGCGGGCGTGAAGGAAACACAAGGGAAGAGGGGGGGAGTGGTATTGGTGTTCAGATCTCGCCGGCTGCCTTGCCTGAAGTGTCTCAAGGTTCAAGTACCGTACGTTCTTCCCCTCTGTCCATTTGGCCGGCCCCAGACATGATCACCTACAGGAGCGCAGTGAACCTGCTGGGCCTTGCAGGGCGGTTGTCAGAAGCAGAGGCCACGTTTGAGGCAATGCTGGTGGCAGGGATGCAGCCGGACGCTGTAGCTTGATCCTCCATGCTGCACTTCTGGGCCAAGGCTGGCAACCCCGAGCGCACGGCCGCATGGTTCAAGCGCATGCTGCTCGCGGGGTGCCCGCCCAACGCGCCGGCGTACAACTCGCTGCTGCTCGCGTTTGTGAGTGCAGGGATGTTTGACGAGGCAGAGGAGGTGCTCTCTGCGTTCAAAAACGGGTGGGATCTGGTGGAGCAGGTGGGGATAACGGCAGGAGGAGAAAAGCACACTGATCTCGGCACGCACAAGCCTGACCAAGGCCCAGTTTCCACAGGCGAAACCGTGGGTGGCGATGGTCCAGTCAGGCCAGGCCGGGCTCTGAAATTGGTGCGAGGGAAAGTGCTCAATTTGCCTGTTGGCGAGCGTCCTGACTTGATGACTTACACCATGCTGCTGCATGCTTGCACTGCCTGCACTGCTCGCAGCGGTGTGGCCCGTTTGATGCGGCTGATGGAAGAGACAGAGCATCCCGCCCATGCTGTGCTCCTGCTGCTCTTGGAGGGGGTTGAGGCTCCTCAGTCTGTGTGTCGCGTGCCTTTGGAGGAGGCTGTTTGGGAGTGAGGGAGGGAGTGAGGGAGGAAATGGAGACGGTGGCTGTGGGAAGACTAAGAGGGATGCTGTTGCGAGAATGATGGGGGGGAGGGTGGGGGAGTGGGAGGAGGAGCGGTGGCGGAAGATAGAGAGGAGGATGAGGGGGGCTGTGTGTAGCAAGGCTGTTGTTATGTACCACCGTGCTTTTTCTGAGGCATGCATCTCATTCCTGCATAAATTAGGGCTGCATGAACGGGCAGCCCGCATGTGGGACCTCTGCCACACACGGTTGCAGCTGTTCCCCAACACCGTTTCGCTGCCCGCAATTCACGGGCAGCATGGGAAGTGTTTGTTGGACCTGCACAGCATGTCAGCAGGGACAGCAGTGACAGTGACTTGGTGGGCGTTGGAGAAGATGCGGCAGGCTGTCGTGGCCTCTGCTGCTTCAGGTACTGCTTCAGATGCTGCTTCAGGTGCGTTTTATTCATCAATGGGAATGGCAAGGGGAACAGGAGCAGGAGGAACCAATCTCACGGCGGGGTCGGTGCATATCGAAGGGGAATCAGAGTCCAATAAAAAGGGAGCTGCATCAGGTGAACCGGACCAAACGAATGCATCCTCGAGCGAATTACGGGTACTGTGGCGGCGACTGGAGAAGGTAGCGGTGGTGACGGGGTGGGGCAAGCGCAGCCCGGTGCAGGGGGCGTCGCTGGTGAAAGCAGCGGTGGAGGCGCTGCTGCTGAGGGACCTCACAGCGCCCTTCTCCCTCCACCGCTTCCACCCCGGCTCCTACGAGGCCCCCGGTGCTGAACTTGAGCAATGGTTGCTCTCGCCAGGTGTCGACCAGCTACTGGCTCCCCAAGACCATGTATGGTAGTGACAGCATTGTACTTCGTTAGGTGCACTGCAGCAGCAACTGCAAGGTGCATGGGTATGGTTAATGGATCCTCCCTCTTTTGCGGATCGTCGTATTTCACCACGGAAGACATCTTTATGGTATCTGCTCGAATCTGGTGTTCCTCTAGTCGCTTCCCCAACCAAACTGCAAGCTAGAGCAAGTCTAGTTGGATATGGCAATCAAAACATGGATGTGGAGGGGGAATTCTTACTAGCATGTAAGAAAGTGTATCGTTTACCGTACCAACCAACCAGTAATTCCTTCCCTGCCACTGGTAGAACCCAACCCCCGCTTGTTCCATGCTGTAAGGAATTTTTCGGATTCCTTACTGGGTCACACTGTACGCGTACAACCCCGGTTTTCGGAAAACCAGGCTCGGCCCGCCGACCTCGCCTTCCGAACCATCACCGCGTCGCCTTCGGGTTTTCCAACCCCGAACCTGCACCCAACCATCTCGCGACCCCGCGACCTCGGCCTTGCTATATTAGTCCTAGGCCTCGCTGTTTGCACCATGCAGACGTTGTAATCACTTCCGCGTTATTGAATTCTGCGCACTCTTTCCTTTCACAACTCATAACACTTGGTATCAGAGCTACTTTCCTAGGTTACCCTCGCGTTTCCGGGGTAGTTTGTAGAAGGGGAGCGATAGACTTGGTGGGCTGTAAAGCGGTCGGCCCGTGGAATAGATCCGATTATTCCACTCCGACTACGATAGCATTTACGCTTTCACCGAAGTCAGAAAAACCGCTAGCCACCCCCTGCCCGTTAGACAAAGTCTGCGACACAAGGAACAGGCGGAGTTCAACGAGTTCATGCAACAGTTCCGGACGATGCAGGCCACCATGCAGACTATGTCTGCAGAAATGGAGCGTCTCCAGAAGGAAAACGCCGAACTACACCAGGCGCGTGGTGAAGCGCGCCAGGAGTCGCCTGTCGTGGACGACGCAAGTAGCAGCACTGCACCAGATGAGCGGGTCTGGAGCGAGCTGGAAGGCGAGATGGATGCGGACGAGGCGAGGCAGGCGTATCAGCAGCAGTCACTGCAACAGTCGCGTGCAGTACCGACACGTGTAGCGACGACGACGACGGCGACGCCAGCAGCGATGCCAACGGTCCCAATGGCAGCCACGGCTTTGACAACTGTTAAACTCAAGCCGACAAACCCGGCCCCGTTTAACCCGTGACAACTTCGTCACTGTTTCTGCATGGCTATTCGGCGTGGAGGTGTTTTTCAATGCTGCTATGATTTATGACGATGCCACCCGCATTAATTTCGCAGTTTCACTGTTGCGAGGACCTGCGCTGGAGTGGTGGAGGCGAACGCTGCAGGACGAAGGGACTTCGGCAGGAATAGCACGTGCGAAGGACGAGACTTCGACACCTGTCACGCATCGAGCAGCATCAATTTTCGGGACGGCTACGATACGGGCCCTCGTGGGTGACGTGACGTAGGTGACGTGGCCCACCTGTCACCCACCTGTCACGTGACGAAGTCCCTGCATTACGTCCCGAAAATTGATGCTGCTCGATGGGCCCTCGTGGGTGACGTGACGGCTCGATACGTCCCGAAAATTGATGCTGCTCCGAAGTCCCTGCATTACGTCCCGAAAATTGATACGGGCCCTGCATGGAGGGAGTGGGGCGCCGCCTTGCGAACCAGGTTCGAGCACATATTCAGGGCCCGTGCTAGGATTTGGGGCACCCTGAGGCCTCAGGGCACTTTTCTAAAATCTTAAGAAATGCCCTGATTTGTCAAGGCAAAATTTCAAAGCCATCCTGTACGTTCAGGGCTTCTACAGACATTAATCCTGACCTGTCAGGGCAAAAAATCATGTGTTCAGGGTTCAGATTTCAGCACAGACCAGACCAGACTCTGCTGAGCACAGCAGAGAGACACACGCCTACTGCGTGCATGCATGGCACACGACAAGATGGGAGTATTCCCTGTTTCCCCCATCTGATGCGTTCGGTTGGTGCGTTGCGCAGGCTCGGAAGTGCGACGGGGTCGCGAAGGCAGGAAAATACACGGGGAAAGCAATCAATGGGGGAATATTTTTCAGGGAACAAATTCCCGGGAAACGGTACCCCTTCCCCCCCCCCCCCCCCCCCCCCCCCCCCCCCCCCCCCCCCCCCCCCCCCCCCCGCCCCCCAAAAAAAAAAACGCGTCAGGGCAAGCCTCGACATTCATCCCGACGCTTCAGGGAAGAACTCCACAGCCATCCTGATTTTCTAGGGCATTTCATATGAAATCATCCTTAGAGCTCAGGGTAAAAAGTTACACTATTCTGAAATCACAGGGCAAATACAAATAAAACTGCATCCTGAATTCAGGGTAATCAGGATGTTTTGCCCTAATATCGTGGGGCCTGCGCATATCCGCCTCGGACTCTGCTCGCATGAAGCTACGTGCCTAGAAGCAGCTGACTTCGGTCCAAGACTACACCAGCACATTCTGCAACTTGGCGGACCAAGTGGACGACATGAGCGATGCGGAGCGGTTGGATCGCTACGTGGCGGGCTTAAAATACGAGATACAGTACGAGGTCCGACGAACCCGGCCACGCAGCTTCAACGACGCCGTCCGGGAAGCCGAGTCAACGGATGCGCTGATGCAGTGGGCGAGATCGAGCTCCCGGGAGGGCCCTCGATTTCGTGGATCGACTCAGCAGCCCACGATCAACGGCGTGGATGCACCAAGCCGAGCCTTTGGGCCGTGCTTCTTATGCAACCAGCTGGGCCACCTGAAAAAAGACTGCCCGAGGCTTAAGCAGGGGAAGAAGAACGACGGAGAAGGGTCGGGAAAAGATACGAGTCAGTAGCAGAAGGGCCACCTACTGACGAGACCCTGTCGCCCGACAATTGTCAGAATGTGATGTTTGTCTAGCCTGCAGTGGGGTACTCTATAGCGAGTACAACCCAAATTAGGGTTTGCATATATGTACTCAACTGCCTGCTAGTGAACCTTCTCTTTCCTGTTTCTAGTTTTCGCCTATGATTTCGACATGCTATCAGAGCGGTTACGCTCCTGGCCTGTGGGCCCACCGTTAGCTTCCGCTGCTGTCCTGTCTGTCGCGCGCCCCGTGGCGCGCGACGTTTTTTCTTCCCGCCACGCGCTCGGGGCGCATGGCAATTTTCTGCTCGCCGCGCGCCCCGATCACGCGGCGGTTTTCTGCCCGCCGTGCGCCCCGAGGCGCGCGGCGGTTTCCTGCCCCATCGACCCGCGCGTCGCCCCCCGTTGCCCGTCGCGGAGCCCCCGGGGACCCGCGCGTCGCCCCCCGTCGCCCGACGCGGCCCGCGCGACCTGCGCCAGGCCCGCGCGCGGCCCGTACGGGCTGCGCCAGGCCCGCGCGCGGCCCGGGCAGCCCGCGCGCGGTTCGTCCGGCCTGCGCCAGGCCCGTGCGCGGCCCGTCCAGTCTGCCCCGGTCCCGCACGCCGTCCCCCGAGCTTCTGACCGCGCCCCACCCCCGCTGCTGCCCGCGCTCCTGTGTTAGGGTTTGGGGGTGGAGAGTATGGGGGTGCCGTGTGTGTGAGCCGTCCCCTGCTCCTCCTCCTCCTCCTCCGTCTCCCACTGCTGCAGCTGCCGCTGAGGGGGGTGGATGTGTTGGAGCCGTCGGAGTGGTACGAGGGGGGTGGCGTGTGAGCGGTGCTAGAGGTTCAACAGGGAGTGTGTGAAAGGGGTGTGGGACAGCTGGAGGAAGTTGAGTGGAGGCAGTCGTCTTGTCGTCCGCAGCGCCTGAAGTCCAGAGAGCCACGACCCCCTGTGGCCTGAGTAGTCCGGGGCTCTGCGCCCGGTAGCCAGATTGTGAGCACTCCTGGTAGTCCAGAGAGCCACGACCCCCTGTGGCCTGAGTAGTCCGGGGCTCTGCGCCCGGTAGCCACAGTGTGAGCACTCCTGGGAGCACAGCGAGCCAGCTGCGCCTTACGCCGTGTAGTCCGGGTTTAGCCTGGTAGCGACAGTGCTGCGCACTCCTGTTGCCCGTGTGTCTGCAGCTTCAGCCGTCGCCTCCCATCTTCTCACCCCCGCAGTTTCTCCTCCTCCTCACTTGCCCTCTGTGATAGCCTCTAGCTTTGCTTGTATTTGTGAACCTACTGCTCTGCCTGCTTGCTGTGCTGATTATACCCCACTTTGACTATGGGGGTGTGTCAGAATGTGATGTTTGTCTAGCATGCAGTGGGGTACTCTATAGCGAGTACAACCCAAATTAGGGTTTGCATATATGTACTCAACTGCCTGCTAGTGAACCTTCTCTTTCCTGTTTCTAGTTTTCGCCTATGATTTCGACAACAATCACCATCCACACCGGGTCGTGGTACCGATCAGAGCTATCGACCAGAACCGGACGAATAACGTGGGTGAACACGTGGACTACCCCATGCTGGTGGTGGGGAGGGTTAACGGTTATAAAATAAAAATATTCGTTGACGGTGGGGCGAGCCACAGTCTCGTCAACCTGGCAACGGCCAAAAAAATAGGGGTGAAGCTGACCAGGTGTCTGCCGGAGATCGATGCAAGGTTGGTGGACGGGACACCGCTGGCCATCCCGAGATGAGGCGCGAAAAATTCGGATACAGTGTGGCGACAAATTCGGGTTTCGCATGAAGATGTTGGCGACGACGTTGGACGGCTGCGATGTGTTGCTAGGGAGAGATTGGCTGCAGCGCTTTAATCCGACGATCAACTGGACGACAAGGGTGTGCGTCGTGCGAGGATATGGAGGGAAGACGACGCTTCCGAAATGGATGGAACCGGAGCCGGTGACGACACGTGTCAACGCGGTCAACATGGCACGAGCGATGAACAGCGGAGCCCAGACCTTCTTGATACACCTGTACGAGGTGGCAGCTTCCGAGAAAATCGCGGACATCGACACCCTCTGCGCAGCAGTTCCTGAGGAATTGGCGAGCATAATTCGGAGGTATCCCGAAATTTTCGCGGATGACCTCCCGGATGGCCTGCCCCCCCAGCGCCCAGAAGACCA